CAACATAATCATTAAAAACAAATTGAGCTTGCAACTCAGCCTACTAAATTACACCAGGAAATATTTTTTGGCACAATTTCTAATGAGAGTCTGTCTTACCTATGTGAGCTTAATAAACTTTAAATTCAGAACTAGAAAATAAGTTGTAGATTACATATTGGGAGAAACTAGTGTACAGCTATTAAAAGACAAAAAAAAAAAAAAAAGAACCCCACCAAGATGGAACCATGAAGAAATTAAAAATCTAAATAGACATATAACTAGTAAGGAAATTGAATCAGTAATCAACAACCTCTTAACAAAGAAAGCCCAGGACCATAAGGCTTCACCATAGAAGTCTACCCTTTAGGGATGGCACCTGTGGGTCAAGGAGTAGGGCGTTGGCCCCATATTCCAGAGGTGGTGGGTTTGAACCCGGCCCCAGCCAAAACAAACTGCAAAAAAAAAAAAAAAAAAAAAGAAGAAGAAGAAGAAGTCTACCCTTTAAAGAAGAATGAACACCTATTCTCTCAAACTTATCCAGAAAATTGAAGAGGAGGAAATGTTTTCAAACTCATTCCATGAGGTTATGAGACCAGCATTACTCTGATACTAGAATCAGAAAAAGAAACAAGAAAAAAGAAAATGACAATATCCCTGATGAAAAATGAGAAAAATCTTCCACAGATACTTGCAAACCAAGTTCAACAACCCATTAACAGGATTATACAATGTGACCGAGTGGGATTTATTCTTGAAATACAGGAATGATTCAATATATGAAAATCAATCAGTGTAACACACCACATTAACAGAAAGAAAAACAAAATGACATAACTGTCTCAAAACAGAAAAAGCGTTTGAAAAATTCAACACCTTTTCATGAAAAGACACTTAACAAACTAGGAATAGAAAGAAATGACCTCAACACAATGAAAGCCAACTATGAACAGCCCACAGCCAACATCATACTCAATGGCGAAATCCTGAAAGTGTCTCCTCTAAGATAAGAAACAAACGAAGGTGCCCACACTTGCCACTTCTATTCAACAAAGTACCAGATGTCCTAGCCAGAGCAATTAGCCAGGCAAAAAATAAAGGCATCCAAATTAGAATAGAGGAAGTAAAATTATCTCTGTTCATTAACATAATCTTATATGTAGAAAACACTAAAGATTCCATTAAAAAACTGTTGGGTCTACTAAACAAATTCATCAAACCTCTTACATTTCTATAGGCTTATAGTGACCTGAAAAGGGAACTAAGAAAAGAATTCCATTTACAATGACATTAAAGAGGACAAGGTATTTAGGAACAAACTTAACCAAGGGGGCATGAGACTTATACGCTGATAACTATAAAATATTGCTGAAAGAAGTTAAAGAAGACTTTCTATTGTTAAAATGTCTATTTTATCCAGAATGATCTACAGATTCAATGCAATCTCTATCAAAATCCCAATGGCATTTTTTCCAAAAGTGGAAGAAAAATCCTGAAATGTATAAGAATCTCAAAAGGCAACAAATAACAACATTGAATCTTGAGAAAGACAAAGCTGGGGGCCTCAGACCTCCTGATTTCAAAACATATTACAAAGTTACAACAATCAAAGCAGTATTATACTGATGTGAATATAGACATACATAGAAGATCAATGGAACAGAATGGAGAGCCCAGAAATAAATATTTACACATATGGCCAAATCATCTTCAACATGAATACTGAGACAATGGGGGAAGGTTAGTGTCTATGAGAAATGGTGCTGAGGAAACTGGGTTTCCACATGCAGAAAAAGGAACTTGGATTCTTAGTTTCCACCTTATGCAGAAATTAACTCAAAATGGATAGCAAGGACAGATCTGAAACCACACAAATTATAGAAGAAAACAGGTGAAAAGCCTTCATGACATTGATGTTGACAATGATTTCTTGGACATGACACCAAAATCACAGGCAACAAAAGCAAAAATAGATAAACAGGACTACTTAAAAACTTAAAAATGTTTGAGCACCAGTGAAAACAGAGTGAAAATACAATTTTCAGAATAGGAGAAAAAATATTCAAACCATACTTCTGATAAAGGGTTATATGTCCAGAATATACATTTTTTAAAAAATGCTGTAACTCAACCACACTATTAATGAAAAATAAATGAACTCATTAAAAAAAGGGCAAAGAACTTCTCTCCAAAGATGATATACAATGGCCAATAAGCATATAAAAAAATCATTAATTATCCAAGAAATGTAAGTCAAAAATCCCAGAGAAAAATAAGTATTGGTGAGGTTGTGGAGAAATTAAAACCCTTGAGCTCTATTGATGGGAATGTATTATAAAATGGTGCACCTCCTACCAATAACAGTATGGCAGCTCCTCAAAAAATCAAAACTAGAATTACCAAAGGAGGTGGAACAAAAGGTCAATGCTGTATTATTCACAATAGCCAAGAGGTAGGAACAACCCATGTGTCTATAGACAGATGAATGGAGAAGTAAAATGTGATATATACGTGCCACGGATTATTTAGTCATCAAAAAGGAAAGCCACTTCCTACAAAACCAATGAACACTGAGGGTCATTGTGTTAAATGAAGTAAACCAGTCACACACACATACACACACGAAACCGTAAATACTGCATTAATCCACCTACATTAGTTACCGAGAGTAGCCAAATTCCTAGAAAAGGTAAGTAGAACGGGGGCTACCACAAGCTGGGGGAAGAGTTTGGCGGTGGGTTGTTGTTTAGTGGGTACAGAATTTTGGTTTTATAAGATGAAAAATTCTAGAGAACAGTTACCCAGCAACATGCTCATAATTAGCACTACTGTACTGTTCCCTTAAAAATACTCAAGGTGATACATTCTATACGTCTTTTACCACAATTTCTACAAAAGGCAAAGGAACAGTACTGAGATACAAGGGACAAAGCGGGTGAGAACAACGCTGTAAAGATACAAACCCTAAAATAGCTCGACTCTGCCGGGGAAGGCCACCCCGCACTTGGTTCCCCTTCAGTATAATCTAGTAAACACAGACTTACTTTTGAACATCTTTTCCCAAATAATTAAAATGTTTATTTAAAATTATAAAAATCATGCCTATCAAGAAACATGTCACAAAAATGAAGGAGTTGGGAAGAGAGGGGGAGGTAAAGTGCAGGACATGGAGAGGTTGGGGGACTTTTCAGGGCCTGAGCACTGCCCCTGCACAGAGGTGGAGGACACACGTCAGGAAGACCCCCAAGGGTCCAAACAATGAAACATCCCATTAGCACATTAGATGAAATAAACCCACACCATCGTTTCAGGGGATTGTCAGGTAGAATATTAGTAAGGAAGAGATGACAAAGATAACACTTTATTTCACATATCCAGTATTACAATTTCCAGGTTGCTAATTATTAGTTGACACCTAATCATTACACATACATATGGGATACAGAGTGATAGCTCAACACTAGTGACAGCCCTTTATTTAACATGTTATTATTATTTTGATGAACATCAAACTTAAAGGTTTTCATAATTTCTCCCATAAAGAGAGTACCCAAAATACCATCTTCCTAAACAATATTTTTATTTTTGTTTGTTAAGGCTGGGTCTCATGCTGTCACTCAGGCCAGAGTACAGCAGTGAGATCATAGCTCACTGCAGCCTCCAGCCGCTGGGCTCAAGTAATCCTCCTGCTGTCTAGCTGGGATTCCAGGTGCAGGCCACCAAGCCTGGTCTCCCATAAAATATATAAGGTCCTCAAACTCAAGTTCCCATCTGAGGAGTTTCATGAACATAAAATGTGTAGTTGGAGAAGGAAGGTTGTTCCATGACACCTGTTGATAACAATAACAGGGATATCACACACAATGCAGAGCACATACCAACACGTATCATACACAACACCCTCACACACAATCCAGAGCTCATACCAACACATATCACACACAACACACTCACACACAATCCAGAGCACATACCAACACGTATCACACACAACACCCTCACACACAATCCAGAGCACATACCAACACGTATCATATACAACACTCTCACACACAATCCAGAGCTCATACCAA